GGGAGGGGGAGCAGGCACAGGAGGGGGGGGGAATGAGGAGATGGGGCATTTGGGGGGATGCTGGGGGAGCTGATCCTGAGCAAAACATTTTTGCACGTGAAGAGAGACAGAAACTAGGGGAAAGTGCAGAGCAGTGTACACACTCCACCCTCCGCACACAGCCCACCTCCCTCTACCCAGCTCCTGCCACAACACTGTGCATATGGTCACACACAGGCTCCCCCAACAGACAAAACCCCATGGGTGCTCCCACGCCACATACACAAAACAACCAGTAGTCCCCACACCACCTATGCCCTCTCAGACAGACCATCCCTTTTCTCTAGTACAATATTGCTATTGCCAGTCAAAAATCTCCCTTGGTCCCCAAGGAGAGAGATGCAGTTAAAAGGTGTGTCCCTGTTTTTCCTCTCCATACATCCTGTGGATACTTTCAAATACATGCACACTCCAGTGGCTGCTAGTAATGTGATATTACCATAAAATAAATCCATACTAATCATCGCTTATCCCCAACATACCATGGGCAATGCTTAAACTAATTAGATAGTATTCATTGTGTTTTACAATATTTTTCACTCCCTGTACTAAACTGCTGGGTCTGTTATTAAACAGCTGTCAGAAGTGGCTATCTATCCATGGGTGTAGAGTGATCCCTGAATTCTGTGATTTGTAAAGTACTTGGTGCTTCTGTGTAATGAAAGATGCTGTAGAAATGTAAGGTGAGATCATATATTAAATCCTAATTCAGTAGGAGGGCTCCCTTTAGCAACAAAGTGCTCACTCCTAGTCTGTTACCCAGGCATCTTCCACCACACTCTTCAGAGACTATGAGACAGGGACACCCACCTCGGGGCACTGTGTCTTCTGCCCAGCCTTGTATCTGCCAACTGCAGCATTCTCTGATTCAACTACAGTAGTACCTGCTCACAATATCCGCATAACTGCCCTGAATAGAATTAGCATTATATATAGTCTGAATGCATGGGATATAAATAACTTTCATAATTAATATTGCTAGTGACAACTATTTAAAGATGGGTTTAACATGAGTTCCCTGATTTATGAACAGGGATAGGTTATGGTTGTTCTAGCCAACCTATAACATCAGTGTTAAATTCTCTTCTGAAGTCCACAGGTGTGATAGGGAAGAATTTAACTCTGACCTCTGAGGGCACATCTACACAGCAGGGCTAAAGTCAAATTAAGCTATTCAACGTCAGCTACATCAATTGCACAGCCGAAGTCGAAATAGCTTAACTCAGTTTTTGACGCTGTCTGCACAGCAGGAAGTCAAAGGAAGAACACTCTTCCTTCCATTTCCCTTACTCCTCGTGAAATGAGGGTTACCGGAGTAAGAAGTCCTCCAGCTCAACATTATTTTGGAAAAAAAAGACTTGTAGTGTAGACGTGTACTATGTTATTTCAGAATAATGTCAGTTATTCCAAACTAATGGTGCAGCCTAGACGTACCCAGAGAGATTGTTTCAAATGGGTTTTGAACATGACTCCGAGAAAATATCCTTGTCCATACCCGTGAGAGGAATTAATCTGAGACTTCTGCTGGCAACAACAGTGATGGAAATTGCCTGTAGCTGGAATGCTTCTGATCCCCCTGTGAAATTCTCCCCGGCCGATGGAGTTGTCTGGAGGCATATGCACTATATGAATAGGGCATAATAAATGTGCAACCCAGCTAAATATGGCTCAGGACATACTACAAGAATGGTAGAGGGCTCCCTTGTGAGAGGGAAAGTAGGAAGGCATTACTTCAGTGGTGGGCAACCTGTAGCCCACAGGGCACACGTGACCCATCCAGATTCCATATGTGGCCGGCAAGACATTTTCCTGGCCCTTCCCTGGGCTGAGGGGTGGAGCATGTGTCTGGGGGGCCTGCCAAGAAGTGGGAGCTAAGGGGGTAACTGCCCTGGGACCTGGTGATCTTAAAGGATCTGGGGCTCCTAACCACCTTTACTACACTTTACATTGCTCCTGGTTCTGGCCAATAGGAGCTGAGATATTTTGCTGAGAGGCAGGGGCAGCATGTGAAACCTCCCCCTCCCCTTTCCCCCCAGCACTCAGAACAGAGAGCCACAGAGAGCAGCCAGCCATTTTGAGCAGCCTGAGACTGTGACAGGCAGGAGCAAGGGTGGGAAGGGGGCTGAGCAGGGGTGGGAAGAGGCAGGTCCTGGGGTGGAGGGGGGTTTTCCCGGGCTGGCAGTGCACTGATTCCTGCAGGGCTGCTGACTGGGCGCCACCTAGGTAAGCACTTCCAGGCCAGAGCCTGTCTCTGGCACCCCAGCCTCTCTCTCCCCCAAATTCCCTGCTTCACACTACCACCCCCTCCTGCCCCAGGTCATCACCCTCCCAGACCCTGAACCCCCACTTATACACCTCCCCAAAGCCAGAATCCTCTCCTGCACCTATACTCCATCCCTGACCCTGACCCCCAATCACCTGCCCCAGGTTACCATCCAAACCCTCTGCACTCATCCTCCCTCAGACCACAACTCCCTCCCAGACCCTGCACGCTCTCCTACATCCCTTCTGGACTCTGCACCCCAAGCTCCTGCCCCAGATCACAACCCCTCCTTCACCCAAATGCCCTCTCAGACCCCACACTCTCTCCTCCACCCCAGGCTCCCTTCTGCACCCAACCTCCATCCCAGACTGTGCACCCCCTCCATGACGAAGTGTGGCCCTTGAACACTTACAAAAAGAGTCCCCACCCACATCAAAAATTCTTGCCCACCCCTGAGCAAGGCAGCACCTTCTGAGTTACCATTGTGTTATAATGTCTGGTCTTGTAGATGGGAGCTTAAGTGTGATTGAAATGTTTCCCTTTCTGTGTAAATAGACACAAATGGCAGCGAGTGAATGGACAAGGACACAGAGGAGGCAGGGATATTACAGACGGTGCACACAGAGAAAGAACTCAAGCAGCGCAATGGGACAAAGTCCACAACAGCAAGCAGGCAAGATAACACTGACCCCAAACCCAAACACAGTCGATTAACTTTCACTGGGTACAAGGTGGTAGAACAGTTTCCTTAGAGCTTCTCTTTAGCACAGGTTGAGCTGCATGTGCCTGGACTGGAGCTCCTGTTAGAAAGCCAGGCTGGGTGAACTGAGCGGGGTAGTAGTATTTGAAGGGCAGAGCTCCCTGGTTGTTGTGTTTGACAGGTGGCCAGTGAAATGCTATTGAACAGGGGTGGTGATACATAGAGGGCATGCTGGAGGGTGGAGCATCCTCCCACCTCTGCTACTGACTGGCTGTGTGACCCTGGGCAAGTCACTTCACAGTCCTCAGCATTTCACTTATTTGTGTTGCCATAGTTCATCGAGGCCCCAGCCGTTTGGCTAGGTGCTGTACAAACCAATAACACAAGCTATGCTGCCAAGAGCTTACATTGTAAGCATAAGCCGAGACAAGAGGTGACACAGCAAACAGAGGGGAACCCGAGGTATCAGTCAGACAATTATAATGAATGTCATTAATAGCAGTCAGGGCTCTCCAGCTGCCTAACCATTATTTTAGGCACCATGGCTGAAGTGAGTTTTAAGGAAGGAGTCGCTTCCCCGTGCCTCAGTTTCCCCATCTCTTAAAGGGGGATAATTATCTTTACCTTCTTTCCTGAAGCCTCAAAAGAATGTGTGAGCTGTGTAGCATAATAATCATCACCGAGGGTAACAGCAACAAACCAGTGAAGCAGAGGGAATGAGACAACAGATGGGAGGGAGGTAGAGAGGTAGCGAGCAGCAAAACATCGCCCAGTTCTTTCCCCTGCAGGGTTAACAACAGCCTCCTTTCGCCTGATTTCCCTCCCTGCCTGCTGCCATTGGCTGCCTCTGTAGGTTTAAGCTAAAAAGCCCTGTAATTAGGACCCCATCTGACACAGATCCAGTTTCCTGCGCAGGCAGATTTTTAAAAAGAAGAAAAAAAATCTCCCTGGTTTAGCCTGGATGTTTTCCTTTCGCTTTGCTGCAAAACTTTCCACGGCTCAGCCACTCTCCTGCCTGAGGCCCTTGGAAGCAGGTGGAGACCAGGGTGACCAGCCAGCCCAATATTATGGGGCTATCCCAATATTAGGGGCTTTGTCTTCTACAAGCAACTGTACTCCCCCCACCCCCCTTCCGCCCTTGGTTAAAAATTGTGTCCTGATTTTTCACACTTGCTATCTGGTCACCCTAGCTGGGGTGCAGCCGGAAAGGGGCAGGAAGAAATACGAACCTCGCGACGTGTGGGCGAAGCCGATCTGTGCTGTGGCGCGGGAAGGAGGGGGCCTCGGAAAGAAGGTAGGTGATTGATTGTGTTGCTGCGGGGCCCAGCAGAGCCACGCTGTGGGGGGTGGCGCGCTGTTATCGTGGGGGTGCTGAGAGCCACTGAACCAAACTGGAAACCCTGCATGGCATGGAAAGTCTGAGAGTTCTACTGCTGCACCCTGCTCTGGGGGCTGCAGGAATCGCAGAGGGCAAGGAACAGGAGGGGCTTTCAGTGGAGGCTGTCTTTACCCTCCCTGCCTGGGCCAGGTGGAGGCACTGGCAGAGGGGAGAGAAAGAGAATCAGGGAGGGGGGTTCCCCCTGTGAAAACAGCACTGGGGTATCTAATCTAGGCACTTCCTCCCCCCTGAGGAGGGTCCCACAGAGCAAGCCTCAGGAATCCTGCATAGAAGAGGGGACTCCCCCGCTCACAGAAAACAGACACTGGTTGGCTCTGCGGCTCAGCTGCAGGGGACAGAACTTTCCACTACTAGCTCGCCCCTCTGCCGGTTTCTGAATGGGATGGAAGGGCCACTGTGCCTGGCACTCTATTGCCCCTGCCACAGGCCGGGATGGCAGGCAAACAGCAGCTCTGTGCTGCCCGAAAAGGGGTGGGACACCAGGGGCCAGATATTCGACAGAGTCCAGTGCCCACACTGCGAGCCAGACCTGTGTATCTCCAAAGAGCCCTGCTGGAGCTTCGAAAGAGCCCAGCAGATTGAGCGAATCTGGCTGTAATGGTCACCGTGGGAATGGTTCGTCCCTGGGCGCTGCTGAGCACTTAACACAGCTCCTCCTGCATGTAGGTGCCTCGGTGGGAAGGAAAAGCTAGCGCCGGGTGTGTGAGAAATCGTGCCAGGTGGGAAAAGGCCTCGCTCTCTTGCCGGGGAGTTTAGTATTTTGAAAATTGTTAGTTTTCTTGACCAATGAAGGCAACATTTTGCAATGTTCCACCAAATATTCTGCCTGCTGGGCTGTCTTGGAGCCTCGTGCTCCTGCCTGCAACCCTGATCACCTGGTGGAAGGCACTACTGCCAATCTTGAAAAGGCCTGACTCCAAAGCAATCCGCCTGATGGGCTGCCCCAGAACCCCAGCCCCTGGGTCCTCTGCCTCTGAGGCAGGCTTCTGAGAAGCCAGGCGAGAAAGCAGGGATGTGAAGTCACAACTCAGAAAGTTGAGTATATAGACCTGTATCTCCAGAAGTGGCAGGGAATTGAGACAACCGGAGGCCTGATTCACAGAGGGCTGAGAAATTGCAGCTCCTGCTGATTTACGTTGGCATTGGGGATTCTCAGGTCTGACCCTAGGTGTCTCAAACCGGGCACCCCAGAATTAGTGGGCATGGTTGAAAAAGGTGGTGACAATGCGGTAAGCCCCTTTGTTTTCCGTTTTTACTGAGTTTTACTGAAATATCCCTGCATTTTACAAAAAACATGATTCATTTTTTCCTACTTGTCACCCTCCTTTTGTATCTTTCAAAGATACAAAAATAAAACACATTGCTTTGTTAGGAAAATACAATACACAGCATGAGATATGTGTTATAATACATTGGTCTCTGTGTCTATGCCAAATGGTTGCCCCATGAAGTAAGGCCTCTAGCACAGTGAGGCTAGTGAGGGGGCTGCAAGAGTGGCCCCCCTTCATCTCAGTGGGCCACAAGATTGTCAAAACCAAGACACTCTCCCGCGACAGGATAGTTTTGCTCACTGCACTTGTGTACCCAGAATTTTATCAGCGCTTTGATTGGATGCAGAGGGAGCGCACGGCTCTCCCAGCCAGTGTTGGGTGCAATCAGCACCCTCCTCACTTCACGTGCTCTTGCTTTACTTTTGTAATACTGGTCGGAAAAAAAACTATGCAGATGAAAACCAGTAGAATCTGGTAACCCTGTGCATGGACAATGGTAAACAATGTTTCATGGGCCCCACACAGAACCCCAGTGAGCTGCAGGTTGTCCGCCACTGCTCCAGAAGATACACACAGTAAACAAACAGGCATGCTGGCAACCTCTGAATTGTGTGCACATCTGAACTATGGCACATCTGAACTGTTAAGGACTAGTCGATTAGTTGATTCCTCCTCCCTCCCCCTGCTTGCTGCCTCTATCAGATAGAGGCAGCAAGGGGGGGGGGGAAGGGGTACTTCAAAGTGGCAGTGCCGCACAGCTGAGCTGGGGATCAGCTATGTGGTGCTGCCGCTTTGAAACCCTGAGGTGGCGTTTCAAAGGGGCAGTTGCTGTACAGCTGATCCCCAGCTCAGCTGTGTGGGGGCTGCCCCTTTGAAACGCCACCTCAGCATTTCAAAGGGGCAGCACCGTGGAGCCCAGGGTCAGCTGGGCAGTCCCCAGCTGACCCTGAGTTCTGAGGAAATGCCGCGCGTAGCCCACGATTAGTTGGGGAGTCCCCAGCTGACCCTGGACTCTACGCAGCATGCAGCATGCAGCGCAGCATGGAACCCACGGTCCATGAGGGCACTGTGGCTTTGAAATGCACAAGAGCCCCCACTGGGGACTCTTGTACATTTCAAAGCAGGCATAATGCGTGCAGCCTGGAGTCAGCGGGACTTCCTACTGGCCCCAGGCTGTATGCACAGTTCCACATACCTCCTTTGTAATATACAAGAGCCCCAGCAGTGGCTCTTGTACATTTCAAAGGAGGAATGCGGAAGCACTTATCAAGTAGTCGATGGAAATTCCATCGACTACTCGACTAATCAAGTAACCTCAATTTAACATCCTTAATCTGAACATACTGATGCAGCTCATGCCCACATTTCAAGCTGTTAGAAGATAATGGTTTAAAGATCTGACTCACTAAAATGAGAAGAAAATGAAAATCTGTATCAGAACACAAGGACCTATTTAAAAGTTTTTTACAAAAAAAAAACAGGTGCTAGAAATGCTGTGACCCAGTTATTAAATATAAATATTTATAGGCTAGCTGTTCAAAGCATACAACAGTAAACTGTTTATTTAAATGAAAAGTTTTATTTGGGGATTAGGGATTGTTTTCTTAATCGCATTGTGAGTTTGAGTTCTGTTTTAGTTCTACAACAAACTACATTGATAAATGGAATTCAAAGCATTAATCTTCTGAATCCTTTTTCCCCGTGTCTTTCCACCCATCAAAATAAACCCTCATATTTACCCAGAAAATTAGTAATAGTTTTTTGCACAGATGTTCACCTGTTTTTGTGGGGGTTGTAATAAACACTGATCAGTTCCCAGGAAAAAATTAAATCAAATCAAAACAGAAATGAACGGCCCTAAGTATATGGTATGCACAGAAAGGGCATGTCTACACTAGGAAATTATTTCAAAATAACTTAATTCAAAATAATAACTCCTGAAATAATAATTTTTAAATAAGTGTTAAATTCCCTGAGGAAAGCAGGAGTAGTTATTTCAAAATAACCAGCCTGTTAGTCCGAAATAACGGGCTTGATAGTGTGAATGCTCCACTTATTTTGAAATAAGGGGGGTTAATAACGGGCTTGATAGTGTGAACGTTCCACTTATTTTGAAATAAGGGGGGTGATTTCAAAATAACTTCGTAGTGTAGACTAGGGCAAAGAGCAGTGATGAAAGATGAACGTTATTCCTGATGGCTTTAGTCTTAAACAACTGCATTTGGAACCAAAGAAGGAATGTTGAGCGTGAGTTGAAATTTAACATTATGGGCTTGGCAGAAGAGAGCTGGAAGGGAGCACGCACAGCCCTTGGGGAGCTAATGTAGGAAAGCAAAATACTATTTCACATTCATTTAGTGCATTTCGCCTGAAGATCTCAAAGTGCTTCATAAAGATTCCTGTAATTACTGTTCCCATTTCACAGCTAGGAAAACTGAAACTCCCAAGGGAGAAGTGGTGTTTCCAGGGTCACACAGCAGGTCAGAGCCAGGATCAAACCTTAGGAGGCTGGCCCCACTATTTTGGGTTCCAAATACTAAGGGCAGCCAGGGTAAGCAGGATTCACTCAATGGTGGAGCTGCCTCTGCTCACAGAATCTCTGAATTGAGGAACTAGATATTGAAAAACCCTAGTGAGGAGCATGGACAGAGATAACAAAATATTCTCCCCAGGGATCCCATGAGTTGCCTAGCACCTCTATTCATGGTGGCCCCCATGGCCTAATGGACAGGGCATAGGCCTCCTAACCCAGAGTTTTCCACCTGGGGTTTGAAGACCTCCATCCTTCCTGGGTGTTGTAAAGACATTTTTCACCGCCACTTTCTTGCACCACAGGGATGAGCCTGGCAAAGTCATTAAATCCTTTTTCACATGGATGAGTGAGCACTAAGGCCAGTGATTCATAGGGCTTCCTGCATAGCAGGACAGGGGGCAAGACAAGGACATGAGGAAGGAAAGACTGAGGCTACATCTCCACTTGCTGCACCGGAGATCGATCTTCTGGCATTCAATTTAGCAGGTCCAGTTAAGACCCGCTAAATCAAACACTGAGGACAGCTCCAGTTAGCGGCATTACTCCTGGCAGTCTCAAGGAGTAAAGGAAGCCAATGGGAGTATTCGCTCCCATCGGCCTCCCTCTGTGAAGACGGTGCTAAGCTCAGCATAAAGTAAGCTGACTCCAGCTATGTATTTTATGTAGCTGGAGTTGCACGCCTTAACCCAACCTTCCGGGTCTAGTGGAGGCCTGGCCTGAGCCAACCAACTAAAGAGGGGGAAGGCACTGAAGAGCTCTGCAGAGAAACAAAAGGAGAGGAACCCATCTGAGCTCCCTGCCCCTTCCTTGGGAGGTGCTAGCTATTGTAATTCCCTGCTAATTACAGGGAATTGTCCACAACCCAGCTGGCAGCTGGCCAGGTTGATTAGTCACATAAAGCCCAAACACAGGCTAGGACTGCAGGGACTGGATTAAGTTCCAGCCTAATCCTTCCTGACCACCTTCTTCCCGCCAGGGATACCACTGTTATTTCTCTCTAGGCCCCATGTATCCCCTGCCAGCCAGAAGTCTGAGGTCCATGCAACATCAGTGCTGGCTCCTCTTATTTGACTTTGACCCCTGATCTGGAGAAAGAGGGGATGTCAGCCTCCATGGTCCAATCTATCCTTGGCTTCTTGGCTGAGTCTACCCAGAGGACATAGGTGTGATGGACGGACTAGTCCCTTGGAAACTGGTGTGACATCCCCAGGTGAATTTCAGTAGGATGCCCATACCCCAGCAAAAAGCTGCAGGAGGAGAACTGGGCATGGTGGTCAGGGTGCAATACCGGGGGCGTTTGCTATTTTAGAAGGTCCTGGCTGGAAATCAAGGGAGAAAGGTTGTTCCTGAAACTCTACTGAATTATTGGTACTTGTATTTCCATAACACGCCCAGCACCCAATCAAGATCAAGCCCCATTGTGCTGTCAAGACACACAGTAAGGTGCAGTCCCCGTCCTGCAAAGCTCCCAAAGCCTAAATTGACAAGACAGACAGAGCGTACAAGAGAGGACGGATCCTCACCGTTTTATAGACAGGAAAACAGAAGCACAGAGGATGGGCCCTGCTCCTCAGACCTCAGTGTTCAGTTGCCAAATTAGCGCTCAATGTTGCCCAAAAGAGCCAGAATCGTGTGAATTCATGATGGCATTTACTATTTGTGTGCGTGTGGACATGTCTGTATTAGCCTCACAGCAAAGTGACTGACCAGGAATTCTACAGTTGGTTAACACCACCATAAAACAGTGTTTCTTAAACTTTTTAAGACCGAGGAACACCAAACAGTAATTTTTTTTTAAATGAGGAACACCAAGGATTTTTTGTTGAGCCAAAAGAAACCCAAAACATCAAGATCAGGGCGGGGGGAGGGGGGGAGCGGGGAGGGAGAGGATCAGAGGGAAAGTTATTGAGGGGAAAAAAGGGTCGGGGAAAGTTATTGAGAAAAAAAAATTGCCTGCCCCCTTTAAGGGTGGCCATTTTGAATTCTGTTGTTCTCCAAGGCACACCTCTGACTGCCTCGCAGCACACCGGTGTGCCACAGAACACAGTTTAAGAAACACTGCCGTAAAAACATCTGGGTTGGTTAATTACTTAGATTTGTTAGTAATTAAATCACCCATTTTAATATCATGTGCGGCTCCCGAGCCTCGTCTGAGTATCCCTACTCTAGGTATTTCAAAACTGCTCAGCTACTACATAGGTACCCAACGCCCCTAAATCCTTGCCAAAGCCCTAACACTGCCCCACAGCTAGCTAACAGTTTGGAGCCCTTGCTGTAAGCCCTGAGGCAGGCTTCCCAGACCAGGCAAGGGAATTCCTATTTTGCTGGAGGACCTGATCTTCTAGGGGTACACTGAACACTCCTCCAACCTGCTACCTGTCCAGCCCGGTGTGGAAGGACCAGATGCAGGTTCCCCACAGGACAGCCCATGCAAGAGATGGTAGCACAGGGAAGCATGGGGCAGACACAGCACAGCCTATGCAAGAGATGGTAGCACAAGGAAGCCAGCTCACCTGCTCAGGTAGTCTGTGCCCATATTGATGCAGTCTCTGTTTCCTGCTCGCACGACACCGCTCTTTTGTCTGCCCCATGCTTCCCTGTGCTACCATCTCTTGCATGGGCTGTCCTGTGGGGAACCTGCATCTGGTCCTTCCACACCGGGCTGGACAGGTAGCAGGTTGGAGGAGTGTTCAGTGTACCCCTAGAAGATCAGGTCCCCCAGCAAGATAGGAATTCCCTTGCCTGGTCTGAGAAGCCTGCCTCAGGGCTTACAGCAAGGGCTCCAAACTGCTAGCTAGCTGTGGGGCAGCTAAACTTTCACGGCAGTGTTTTAAACTTTTAAAAGTGATATTAAACTTTTATGACAGTGTTTCTTAACTCCAGGAGAGGGCTTGAAGCTGAGGATCTGGAGAGGCACCGATATCCAGCCCAGGTTGGCCATTCAGGCATCCCAAATCCCTCTCCTTCTTCCCAGTGTTCCCCAGTCTACCCAGTGTTCCCCACTGGGCTACCGCAGGAGGCTCCCCAGTCAGCTTGTGGGCTTCTGAGGAGCCCTTGCTTCACCACTGAGATCAACTCTCCTCCCTACCCCCCAAAAAAGTGACTACCGGTCACCCCACCACTGCCAAAAAGGCTCTAATGTCACCGGTGGACTCGGGGTCCATCCTGTTTCTTAGAGCCCTTGGCAGAGCCCCTACCCCTACTCTGTTCTTCCCATACATTATAGTAGGAGCTTGGGGACCAAGGACTGAGAGCACTAGGCAGCGTAGCATCTCGGGGCTAGGCATTGCAATGCTGAGCAGAAAATCAGAGCCAAAGTGGTTTTGCTTAAGGCCGGGCAGCAGGGCTGAGGCACAGCCAGGAAGAGATCCCTGAACTGAATCCCAGCAAAATGCTTCTGGCTGGTTGAGGCCCATGCCCTGGAGATGGAGTTCTGCAGAGCAAAGCTTCCCCTTTCGATCCGTGCTAATATAAGAGCAGCCATACTAGGTCAGACCAAAGGTCCATCCAGCCCAGTATCCTGTCTTCTAACAGTGGCCAATGCCAGGTGCCCCAAAGAGAGTGAACAGAAACGGAATCATCAAGTGACCTCTCTCCGGTCATCCATTTCCAGCCTCTGACAAACAGACACCATTCCTGCACATCTTGGCTAATAGCTACTGATGGACCTAACCACCATGAATTTATCTAGCTCTTTTTGGAACCCTGTTCAAATCTGGTCTTCACAACATCCTCTGGCAAGGAGTTCCACAGGTTGACTGTGTGCTACATGAAGAAAAACTTCCTTCTGCTTGTTTTAAACCTGCTACCTATTAATTTTATTTGGTGACCCCTAGATCTTATGAAGCAAGTCAGCCCATCAGTATTTGGTCCACTAAATGCAAAGGTCTGGCAAGTTCATATCCTTCCCCTCCCCCCTTTTCCCCCAGCTGTATTTGTGGTCTGTTCCACAGGTTGACTGTGTGCTACATGAAGAAAAACTTCCTTCTGCTTGTTTTAAACCTGCTACCTATTAATTTTATTTGGTGACCCCTAGATCTTATGAAGCAAGTCAGCCCATCAGTATTTGGTCCACTAAATGCAAAGGTCTGGCAAGTTCATATCCTTCCCCTCCCCCCTTTTCCCCCAGCTGTATTTGTGGTCTTCC